ACACGTTTTGTGAAGTTACTTACACCTTTTGTGAAAAAACATACACCTTTTCTAAAAAATTATACCTTTTGTGAAATAATTTCTTTAATAAAATTTGCATATTTTATCAAAACTTATACCTTTTCCTAAAACTTACACATTTTCATGAAAAATACTTATACCTTTTATCAAAAGTTACACGTTTTGTGAAATAATTTTTTTTATAAAATTTACACCTTTTGTTGGAACTTAACTTACACCTTTTATGAAAACAAGACTTATACGTTTTGTGAAGTTACTTACACCTTTTCTAAAAAAACATACACCTTTCTGCAAAGTTACACCTTTTGTGAAATAATTTATTTCATAAAATTTACACCTTTTGTTAAAACTTACACATTTTCGTGGAAATACTTACACATATTCTCAAAAGTTACTCCTTTTGTGAAATAATTTGTTTCATAAAATTTACACCTTTTGTTAGAACTTAAACCTTTTGTGAAAACAAGACTTACACGTTTTGTGAAGTTAGTTACATCTTTTGTGAAAAAACATACACCTTTTCTGAAAAGATACACCTTTTGTGAAATAATTTCTTTCATAAAATTTACATATTTTCTTAAAACATACACTGTTTGTGAAAACCTACACCTTTTCATGAAAATATTTACACCTTTTGTCAAAAGTTACACCTTGTGTGAAATAATTTTTTTCATAAAATTTACACATTTTGTTGGAACTTACACCTTTTGTAAAAACAAGAGTTACACGTTTTGTGAAGTTACTTACACATTTTGTGAAAAAACATACACACCATTTCTGAAAAGTTACATCTTTTGTGAAATAATTTCTTCCATAAAATTTACACCTTTTGTTAAAACATACACCTTTTATGAAAACTTACACCTTTTTTTGAAAATCCTTAGACATTTTCTCAAAAGTTATACCTTTTGTGAAATAACTTTTTTATAAAATTTACACATTTCGTTGGAACTTACACCTTTTCTGAAAACAAGAGTTACACGTTTGGTGAAGTTACTTTCACCTTTCATGAAAAAACATACACATTTTCTGAAAAGTTACACATTCTGTGAAATAATTTCTTTCATAAAATTTACACATTTTGTTTAAACATACGCATTTTCTTGAAAATACTTACACCTTTTCTCAAAAGTTACACCTTTTGTGAAATAATTTTTTTATAAAATTTACACATTTTGTTGAAACTTATACCTTTTGTGAAAACGACCCTTACACCTTTTTTGAAGTAATTTACATCTTTTGTGAAAAAAGTTACACGTTTTCTGAAAAGTTACTCCTTTTGTAAAAAAAAAATTTCATAAAATTTACACATTTTCTGAAAACTTATACCCTTTGTGAAAACTTACATCTTTTTGTGAAAATACTTACACTATTTATCAAAAGTTACACCTTTTGTAAAATATTTTCTTTAATAAAATTTACACCTTTTGTTGGAACTTATACATTTTGTAAAAACGACACTTACACCCTTTGTGAAGTAACTTACATCCTTTGTGAAAAAAAGTTACACATTTTTTTCTGAAAAGTTACACCTTTTGTAAAAAACTTTCTTTCATAAAATTTACACATTTTGTTAAAACTTACACATTTTTTGAAAACTTACACCTTTTCGTAAAAATACTTATACTTTTTGTTAAAAATTACACCTTTTATGAAATATTTCTTTCATAAAATTTACGTATTTTGTTGGCACTTATACTTTTTATGAAAACTAAACTTACACCTTTTGTGAACTTGTTTACACCTTTTGTGAAAAAACATACACATTTTCTTAAAAGTTACACATTTTGTGAAATAATTTCTTTTATAAAATTTACATATTTTGTTCAAACTTGCACTTTTTCATGAAAATACTACTTTTTGTCAAAAGTTACACCTTTTGTGAAATATTTTTTTCATAAAATTTATACATTTTGTTAGAACTTACACCTTTTGTGAAGTTACTTACATCTTTTGTAAAAAAAACTTATACCTTTTCTGAAAAGTACACCTTTTGTAAAAAAAATTCTTTCATAAAATTTACACATTTTGTTAAAACCTACACCTTTTGTGAAAGTTACACATTTTCATGAAAATACTTACACCTTTTGTCAAAAGTTACACCTTTTATGAAATACTTTTTTATATATAAAATTTACATCTTTTGTTAGAACTTACACCTTCTGTGAAAACAAAACTTACACCTTCTGTGAAATTACTTACACCTTTTGTGAAAAAAATATATACCTTTTCTGAAAAGCTACACCTTTAGTGAAATAATTTCTTTCATAAAATTTATACATTTTCTAAAAACTTGCACATTTTCGTGAAAATACTTACACCTTTTGTCAAAAGTTACATCTTTTATGAAATATTTTTTTTCCTAAAATTTACACATTTTGTTGGAACTTACATTTTTTTGTGAAAACGAAACTAACACCTTTTGTGAAATTACTTATATCTTTTGTGAAACAACTTACACCATTTCTGAAAAGTTACATCTTTTGAAAAAATTTCTTTCATAAAACTTACACCTTTTGTTAAAACTTACACATTTTCATGAAAATATTTACACATTTTGTCAAAATTACACTTTTTGTGAAATATTTTTTTTCCATAAAATTTACACATTTTGATGGAACTTACACCTTTTGTGAAAACAAAACTTACACTTTTTGTGAAGTTACTTACATCTTTTGTGAAAAAACTTACACTTTTTCTAAAAAATTACACCTTTTGTGAAAAATTTTCTTTCATAAAATCTATACTTTTTGTTAAAATCTGAACCTTATGTGAAAACTTATACCTTTTCGTGAAAAGATTTACACATTTTGTCAAAACTTACACATTTTGTGAAATACTTTTTTTCATAAAAGTTATACATTTTGTTGAAACTTACACTTTTTGTAAAAACTAAACTTACACATTTTGTGAAGTTACTTACACTTTTGTAAACAAACATACTTATTTTTTGAAAAGTTACACTTTTTGTGAAATAATTTTTTTTTTTACAAAATTTACACATTTTATGAAAACTTACACCTTTTCGTGAACATGTTTATACCTTTTGACAAAAGTGTAAGTATTTTCACGACAATGTGTAAGTTTTCAAAAAATGTGTAAATTTAGTATTTTCACGACAATGTGTAAGTTTTCAAAAAATGTGTAAATTTTAACAAAATGTGTAAATTTTATGAAAGAAAATTTTTCACAAACGGTGTAACTTTTCAAAAATGGTGTAAGTTTTTTTTACAAAAGATGTAAGTAACTTCACAAAATGTGTAAGTTTCGTTTTCACAAAAAGTATAAGTTCTAACAAAATATATAAATTTTAGAAAAAAAATATTTCACCAAAGGTGTAAGTTTTAACAAAAATTGTTAATTTTATGAAAGAAAACTTTTCTCAAAATGTGTAACTTTTTAGAAATGGTGTAAGTTTTTTCACAAAAGATGTAAGTATCTTAACAAAAGGTGTTAGTTTCGCTTTCAGAAAAAGTGTAAATTCTAACAAAATATGTAAATTTTAGAAGAAAAAAAATTTCACAAAAGGTGTAAGTTTTGACAAAGGTGTAAGCTTCGTTTTCAGAAAAAATGTAAGTTCTAATAAAAAGTGTAAGTATTTAGAAAATGTGAAAATTTTACAAAAGAAATTATTTCACAAAAGGTCTAACATTTTATAAAATGTGTAAATTTTTTCACAAAAAATATAAGTAATTTCACAAAAGGTGTAAGTTTTGTTTTCACAAAAAGTGTAAGTTTTAACAAAATGTGTAAGTATTTTCACGAAAATGTGTATATTTTCAGAAAAAGTGTAAGTTTTATGAAAATGTGTAAATTTTATGAAAGAAAAATTTTCACAAAAGGTGTAACTTTTCTAAAAAAGTGAAAGTTTCATTTTCACAGAAGGAGTAAGTTCCAACAAAATGTGTAAAATTTATTAAAAAAGTATTTGACAAAAGGTGTTGCTTTTGAGAGAAGGTGCAAGTATTTTTAAGAAAAATTGTTAATTTTCAGAAAATGTGTAAATTTTATGAAAGAAATTATTTCACAAAAAGTGTAATTTTTCAGAAAATGTGTATGTTTTTTCACAAAAAGTGTAAGTAACTTCACAAAAGGTGTAAGTAATATGTGTAAGTTGTCAAAAGTTACACATTTTGTATGTAATTTCACAAAAAGAGTAAGTTTTCAAAAAAGGTGTAAATCATTTCACAAAAAGTGTAAGTTGTCACAAAAGGTGTAAGTAATTTTACAAAAAAGCGTAAGTTTTCACAAATGTGTAAATAATTTCACAAAAAAACGTAAGTTTTCAGAAAAGGTATAAGTAATTTCACAAAAAAACATAAATTTTCACAAAAGGTGCAAGTGTACACAAAAGGCGTAAATTTTCACAAAAGGGGTAAGTGTTCACAAAAGGTGTAAGTTTTCTTGAAATTACTTACACCTTTTATGAAAATTTATATTTTTTTGGGTCGGTTTGGCAAGCAAGGTTGGGGCTAAAATAGCCACAAAAGACAAAATATGATATTTTAACCACAACAAACAAAACATCACATCCAATCCATAATCATTACACTCTTCTCTCACAAAAAAAAGTCAAAAAAGTCAAAAAGTCAAAAAGCCAAAAAGTCCTTCCCAAACCAAACTTTTTAACCCAGGCTAAAATAGTCAAAAAAGTCAAAAAACTAAAAAACCAACTCACTTCCCAAACGAAGACTTTATAAAATTATTTACACTTTTTTATGACAAGTTACACTTTTAATCATATAATATATTATTTTATTAATTTACACCGGCTTAACAGGCCACCATTGCGTAAGTTTTAAAAAAAATTAGTATAATTCAATACATAAAACATTTAAGTGTAATATATAAAAAGTGCAAGTGCCTTCTACATCACACCTAAGAAAGGTCTTTATTATTATTATTATTTCAACAATCCGGTGGCGCTAGTGGTTTCAAGCGTCTCCTAATTTCATCAATATACCACTTTTCCTTTTCCAAGACGGTTCCGGATTCTAATTCCCCCAACTCCAACCTCTCTATTTATTAAGGACGTCCGAGCTCAAACTTAAACCTAATCCAAACTCTAATCGTCATCATCATGGGACAGTGGACGGCGACGAAACCTAGCCGGAGCGACGAAGTTTTAGACGCAGTCGAACAAAACAGAATCGCCAATCTCGTAAGAGCTCAGTTCGATTCAATAGCCCCAAAGCGACCCACAAAACCCAATCGAAGCGAGTCCGATTCGCCACCACCACCACCAACCCCTCCTCCCTCCCAAAACATCCCACTTCCCGAATTCCAAAAGTTTCAATCTCTTCAATCTCAAGTCGGTCACAGCTTTTTCCCAATTTTTTTTTTCTTTCTTGCCAAACAAAACATACTTGTTTCATATTCTAATATGTATGTATATGTTTACACAGGCCATATTTTCAGGTTCGTTCACTTCCCAGGACGAGTTTGTGGAGACCCAATACTACAAACAATTGGATTCAGTTGACAAACAACACCACAAGGTAATATACTCTGTTTTTCTCAGTCTTCCGTTTTTCATACTCAAATGTATGTTGAGGGTTGATTTGATTTTCTCATAGTAATAATGTTGAGCAGACTGGAAGTGGGTTTATAAACGTGGGTAGAGAAGGAGGTGTGCATGGGTATGATCTGAAGTTGCAGAATGGCCATGATAATGGAGGACGCATCGAAGACGTGATGATGTTCAAAACCAATCCTGCAACCAATGATTGGATTCCCAGCATTGAAGACCATCAGGTGTGGTATTGAATCATTAGATCTATCATCAAGTTTTGAACAAAAATTCTGTTTTTTTTATACCATTATTTTGTATTATCAGGCGATCTATGTGTCCTCTGCAAAGCCGAATCGGAGCGAGAGTGGTTAGATCGGAATTGAATGAAACTTGAGTGTTGTGTTTTATTATTACTGTGTGCATTAGAATGCTGTGTTATATTATTACTGTATGCATTATGGGAAGGAGAGGAGATAATAATGATGGATAAGGATGAGTTCGATGGAAAGATTAAAGAATTTTTTACAAGTGGTTATCAATTAATTTAATGGAATTGTTGTTATCCAATTCACTGTTTTGCTTCCTTTTCTCATTTGATAACATTATTTAATTGAATTGGTTTTCTTCTATTAAAAAAAGTTTTACTGAAGAATGCAATTGTAATTGAATGAAACTTGAATGCTGTGTTATATTATTACTGTATGCATTATGGGAAGGAGAGGAGATAATAATGATGGATAAGGATGAGTTCGATGGAAAGATTAAAATAAATTTTGCAAGTGGTTACCAATTTAATTTAATGGAATTGTTGCTATCCAAATCATTGTTTTGCTTCCTTTTCTCATTTGATAACATTATTTAATTGAATTGGTTTTCTTCTATTAAAAAAAGTTTTACTGTTTTGTTTTTTTTAAATTTGAGAGAATTTTAGAGGTTTATATAATTTTCATAAATTCTATTTGATGATCTCATCATCTATTATAATCTTTTTATTTTATTATATTTATTTAAAAAATATAAATAATAAATATATTTTTAAAAATAAATTATTTATTTTTTTGGAAAATTTACCCATAAGTCTTAGTTTCTGAAAAGTTGAACCATTTAGTCCTAAAAATTTTCTTATGCTCCATTTAGTCCCATTTGCACATCAATCTAATGTTTGAAACATTAATCTGATGTTCGAAATCTAATGTTCGAAACATTAATCTATGTTCGAAATCTAATGTTCGAAATATTAATCTGATGTTTGAAACATTGTAATGGGACCTTTCAGTCTATAAGAAAACTTTTAGGACTAAACAGTGTATAAGTTATTAATTTGGAATTTATTGGTGCATCAAAGATAAAAATATAATAAAATAAAATAAAAAATTACAAATAGCAATCAAGTTAATTTTATTTACTTAACCCACGCACCCACCTAGCCCTTCCATTGGAAATCATGTCAGCCCAACACAGGAAACCCTTGCTGGATTTCCAAACTAGTCACCCCGGTGATCCATAGATAAGATGTGCAAGGCCTGTCTCTCTAGTGGTCAGGATCACTCATGACTAGATTGAGGATTGATTTGACATATTTGAAAAAAAGTTATAAAGTCAAAAAATTATTATCTTATTTAAATCATATCATCTTATTTAAATTATATCATCTCTTTAACACATCACTTCAAACTCAATTCATACTCAATTTATATTTCATAAAAAGTCAAAAAGTATACTTATTTAGATCATCACAAACAACTGTTTATCGTTTTCATATCCCCTCTTTCATCTGTAGATTATGATATAGATGTTTGGGCAAATTACAAACATCTCCTAGAGATTTGGTAAAAATACAAATTTTCTCTTGAGGTTTGAGAAATTACATCTCGTCGCCTAATGTTTATATTTTCATAACAAATTGTTCCTTGAGATTTTTATTTTTATATAGATTTCTTCTTAATTTTTCCTAATTTATTATGAAAATTTGACTCTCAGAGAATAATTTGTAATTTTTTAAACCTTATGAGAGAATTTGTATTTTTACTAAATCTCGAGGGGTACTTGTAATTTGCCCCTCATGTTTTTTATTGTACTAAAAAAAATATTCAATAGATAAAACAGTATGGTCTCCCAAAGATCCATCACCCCTAGTTTATGATGTATAAGACCATCTTCAACACTACATTAATATTTCATAAAATTTAAATTTAATAAAAAACAGCAAATGTTTAACTTTTAATTTTTTCATCAAACTCATTAAACGAGAGATGAATCAAAATTTGTATCAAATGAGAGGAACTTTTAATTTTTTATTAAATTTAAATTGTATCTTAAATTTAATTGTTACTGTTAGGATTAGGGCTGAGTAAGAAATCCGTAAAATCTATAATCCAATCCAATCCAGTCCAATCCGATAGGTTTGGATTGGTTTTTTGAATCCGTGGTTCGGTTTCGGATTGAAGAATTAAAAATCCGTAGTCCACGGATTGGTTCTGGATTGAACCCCACGGTTCTGGATTTGAACCGATCCGAATCGTATACAAATAGTCTATATTTTTATTATACATCCGCCCTCATAATATCTTCTCTTATTCTATATAAAATTTAAACTCAAACCTAAACCTCATATAATATCTTCTTTTATTACTTTTGTTTTTTAGTTTTTAGTTTTAATTTGTAATAGTCTAAATACTTATGGTGAAACCAGTTTTTTTATGATTGTTTAAATTCTAGAACATTAAGTCGTTATTATATATGTCGCTATTATAGAAAAATATGTTGCTATTGTGGAACTAATATAGCGCTATGTTTATATTTTTATAAAATTAAAGTGTTATATATATATATATATATATTTGTTATTTAATTATGTGAATCCGTGGTCCTAAACCGATCCAATCCGTGTTGAAATAGATTGGTTCGGATTGGTTCCAAGATTTAAATGGATCGGATTGGTTCTGATTTTTCAGGAACCGTAGATAACGGATTGGTCCTGGTTTTATCCCAATTTGGTCCAATCCGGACCATGCTCACCCCTAGTTAGGATGATTGTCCGGACGTTCTCGAAGACAATCGAAAATGTAAAAAAAATTAATGAAAATTTTAATTTTGACGATAGAGTAAACGATGTTAAATTAAATTTTTTATGAAATTTAAAATTTGATAATTTTTTTTATTCAATATTGGAGATACTCTAAGAAAACAACTTCATATCTCTAATGTGTAACACTTGACACAACTTCATCCCCTCATTGAGCATGGCACGACAGAAAAGCCAAAAACATGAGTGCTTTTATATCCATTGAACAAACGAGGGTTGTATTTGTACCAAAAATGACACCATGGCATGAAGAAGAAAAATGGACTGCAAAAAAGAAAAATCTAAAAGGATAGCATTGCTAACTTATTTAAAAATTCAACCTCATATATACCCATAAGACTACTACAATACTAAAAAGTTTGAAGCAAAAGAAAAATAGATGAAGTCGGAAGAAAAAAAAAATAACAATGTTCTATCTTAATGGTGCTGCATATAAAAACATGAAAAATAATATTTAAGCCCACTATTTAGACTCATTTTCCAGATCTAATGATATGTAAATGCTATAATTAGTTGGTGACTAGAGAAGATATAAGAAATAGTGTTATCTTTAATATTCTAATTGATTGTCACAATGCTGGGTTTGAAAATTAAGTCTAAACATTGCAGCTTCAGAGAATTTTGTTCATGATGTCACGTGCTTTACACATGGCTTCTAGTGGTTCGAGTTTGGGCATAGTTAGTCCTTTGCCTTCTGTGAGATCAATAGCCTTCTCACTCACTCTCTCCCACTCAAAGCATTGAATCAATGACGCCAAACCCAAACCCACCACACGTTGGGCTAACCCAACCCCTGGACAGGATCTTCTTCCCATCCCAAAAGGCATCAACTTGTGCCCTTCTGCTTCTCCACCTTCAAACCTTTCAGGCTTAAAACTTGTAGGGTCATCCCACACTTGAGGGTCTCTATGAATGGCCCACGCATTGACCAACAAGATTGTATCGCGTGGCACATCGAATCCTTCAATTGTACAATCATTAGATGCCATGTGTGGTACCAATAGCGGTGCTGCAGGAAACATTCGAAAAGTTTCGGAGATGATAGCTTGAAGGTAATGCAACTTGGAGAGATCAGATTCATCGACCAGGCGTTCTTGGCCCACTTGAATGTCCAACTCAGCTCTAGCCTTCTTCAACACCTCCGGATGGTTTATTAAAAGAGACATTGCCCATTCCATTGTCACTGCTGATGTGTCTGTGCCCGCAAGTATAATGACCTAGACGTTATAAATTTACAAATCAACAGTAAAATATCAAAAGCCAATGCATTGTGATATTTTGACATTTTTTTGCATATTATTGACAATGCGACAAAAACCCTCATGGATAGCACAGTCATATTTTATACGTATTATTGAGTGTTTGAGATTGATCTTTTTTAGTGGGTTTTTTTTTTTTAGTGATTTTTTTTAATTATCAATACACTTTAGGCTTTTAAGTTCTACTCAATTAGAGGAACCAAAAAAGTTAAATAAATAAATAATTTGAAAAAATCTACTAAAAATCGGAAGGAAAAAAATAATAATAATAATTGACATTTTTAATTTTTTTTTCTAACTTTTTAGATTCTTCTACACTAGACTGATCAAAAAATATATAATAAAAAAATGAAATAAATTTGTAAAAAAAAAAATTAAAGAAAAAAATTGAAAAAAGTGTGACTATTTTTTAAGTGGATGTCAAACAACCTCTTAGTACATACAACTTTTCTCAATAAAGGTCAAAATTAAAAAGTAAAAATTCAAAATATTATTCTCAAAATTTTAGAAAATTAATTTTTTTTAACACATTTACATTATTTATATTTCATAAATTGTAAACAAAATATGCATCACTTTCTATAGACTCTAAAAAATATAAAATAAAATAAATAAGTTATAAATAATTTTTACACCAAACAATGCCATTATATAATTGTAATGAAAATCTCCATCACAATACATGGCTTCGTATGAAAAGACTAATTTAACTTGACTTTATAACTAATTTATTTTGACTAAATTAATTTTGTTTGAAAAAAAAAAATTGATTTTTTTTTGGTTTGTATATAATAATTATAAGAGAAAAAATGAAATAATTATGATTCAAATGTGATATATTTATTTTATTAACTTCTTTAACATATTTTTATCTTTTTATACATTAAAGTAAAAAAATTGTTAACAAACGACAATGTAATAATGCTTCTATAGTCATAGATATACATATATACCATTTGTATATGTATTGTGTGTATTATGATGTGCAGACCCTGTAACGATTAGTGAGGGCAGAATTTTTTTTTTTTTACACAAATATGAAGAGTTACAAGTCACATTTACACCTTTATAACCTTTAACCCCATATGTTTTGTATTTTTATTTATTTATTTATTTATTTTTATCTGTCTCCCGTGTTGAAATTTTCCCTAACTTATCCAACCAACAGTCATATTAAAGAAGTAAAAAGGCGTTGAAAAGAAATTAATTATTAATATTATGATTTTTTTTTTAAAAAAAAAACTATTATGTGATCTTTTAAAAATCACCCTGACATCGTGGTTTAAGAATGAAATATTTTCGTTAATTTTTTCATATTTCATGAAAAAAATGTGTACAAAAATAAAAAGAATAGAATGATCAAATTATTTTTTAATTTTATACTAAAAAAAAATCTATTTCCAAACGAGACTTTAATTAGCCTTAGAATATCAAGTATTAACACTAGAAAAAATTTCTAGAGTTAAAATTTCTATCAAATGTCAGTCTCATGTAAGTCTCGTACTCATGTGAGATAATTGATAAAAAATTTGATAAATTTTTTAGCTTCCGTTTGGAAAGTGAATTGACTTTTTGACTTTTTTTTTGACTATTTTAGCCTGGGCTAAAAAGTTTAGTTTGGGAAGAATTTTTTGACTTTTTGACTTTTTAAACTTTTTTTGTGAGAGAAGAGTGTAATGATTATAAGTTGGATGTGATGTTTTGTTTGTTGTGACTAAAATAGCTTATTTTGTCTTTTGTGGCTATTTTAACCACAAATCAACTTGCCAACTCCGTTTAGGAAGTTGAGATTTAGACTTTTTTTGCCAAAATAATCACAAAAAAATAAAATAGATTTTTTAGCCTAATAAGACAAAACATATCATTTAACCCATAATCATTACATTCTTTCTCTCACAAAAAAATTAAAAAAAAAAAACTAAAAAGTCTTTCTCAAACGAGACTTTTTAACCACAGGCAAAAATAACTAAAAAAATTAACCCACTCCCTAAACCAATCCAATATCTAGTATTAACTCTAGAAAAAATACGCAACTAGAAAAAAGTACATTAACATTACGAGAGTCATGAGATTTGTTCAGATTTACAAATATGAACATCTTATTTATTGACAAAAAATACACAACTACAAAAAAAGTACATTAACAAATGTAAGAGTTAAAAGTTGGGAAATTTATACATCAGTTTTCATTTTCAAAATAATTACTAACTCATGAAAAAATATATAATTTTAATTATTAAAAGAAATAATTATCTAAAAATTCTATTTACAAATGTTATGGTAGTTTATGTCTTATTTAAGATTTCTTGAACTAATAAGTGAGAATATTATCATTTTTTTTTAATTTTTAAAACTAAGAATATTGTCAATTTTGCATAGTAATATTTCAGATAATTATTTCATTAACTGATAGAAAAAAAATAGAGTATGAAATTAAACGTTTTTGCCCTTCTACTTATTGATTTAATTCAACTATCTAATAAAATCGAGAATATTATAAGTTTTTTCTAATTTTAAAATTAAGAATATTATTAGTTTTTTTCATTTTTAAAGTTATTTTATTTTATTTTTTATATTATTTTTCCAATTTTGCAACTCAATGTTCCATCATTATGCTCCTTTTTAGATACAAAATTTTTAGTTTTGCACAAAAAAAAATAATTCAACTTTTTCAATTTTTTTCAAAAAAAAAAAAAACATTCACTCTGTTTGGCTTTGATTTCCAGAATTCACTTTTCAGATTTTTTTTTATTTTTTGTATTTTTTTTGTTTTCATCGATTTTTTTAATATTTTAAACAACTTTTTTAAATTTTTAAACACAACTAACATAAATACTCTTTAAAAAAATTAATAAGCTTTCATTTGGGATGTGAGTTGACTTTTTGACTTTTTGGCTATTTTAGCTTAGGCAAAAAAATCTCGTTTAGGATAAATTTTTTGGCTTTTTTGATTTTTGTGAGAGAAAAAATAAAATGATTATTGTTTTTCTTATTGGGTTAAAAAGTGTATTTTGTCTTTTTGTAACTATTTTAGCCCAAGAAGATGATGCCAAACATAGCCTAAATATTGGCTTTGATTTCCAGAATTCACTTTTCAGATTTTTTTTTATTTTTTGTATTTTTTTTGTTTTCATCGATTTTTTTAATATTTTAAACAACTTTTTTAAATTTTTAAACACAACTAACATAAATACTCTTTAAAAAAATTAATAAGCTTTCATTTGGGATGTGAGTTGACTTTTTGACTTTTTGGCTATTTTAGCGGAGGCAAAAAAATCTCGTTTAGGATAAATTTTTTGGATTTTTTTGATTTTTGTGAGAGAAAAAATAAAATGATTATTGTTTGGCTATGATGTATTTTCTTATTGGGCTAAAAAGTATATTTTGTCTTTTTGTGACTATTTTAGCCCAAGAAGATGATGCCAAACATAGCCTAAATATCAAAAATACAAAAATTCAATACATATTTTTTTTTAAATTTTTTGTGTATTTATTAATTTTTTAAAATATTTTTTCACAAATATTTTACTTTTTAGAAGGACAATTCTGACTATTAAAAAATTTTAATGGGATTTCAAGACTTAAAAAAAAATTAGTTAGGACTTAGGCATTGTTTGACAACATCACTTTTTAATCTAAAAGTCAAAAAATCATTAAAAAAATTAAAAAGCCAACAACCTATACCAAAAAGTCGAAGATTTCATTTTTTTTTCTCTACCTTTTACAAATCTTTTTGTAAAAAATCAAAAAGTCATTCCAAACATACTAATTTTTTTACCTCATATTTTCGCCAAAAAATCAAAAAGTACTAAAATAATCTGTTTTCAAACGATACCTTAATGAAATATAAGTTCATAAATTAAGACTTGTGTTTAAATACCCCTTATTAAAATTTATTATTAATATGTATTTTTTTATGCAAATATAGACTTAACTGTTAATTCTTCTTAAAAGTTTAGTGATTGAAATGAAATAATCATAATACTACTAAATTTTATATGAATCATTAAAAAATATTCAAAGTTACATGTAACATATTTTAATTCTACAAAAATTAAAAATCAAAATATATTTATAACATTATTACGTCATGCAACCGGTCGAGTCTGGATCCTTTGAAATAATTTTTTTTATACTGTTGTTATTTAAGCAATAAATTTTTTAGTTGGCTTTTTTGAATGAAGATTTTTTAGTATGGCACAAAAAAGTTTATTTGGATTGACTTTTTAATTTCTGTGAGAAAAAAATAAAATGATTGTAATATGAATGTGTCATTTTATCTTATTAACTAATTAAGTGTATTTTATCTTTTGTGTTTTTTTAGACCCAAAAGCCTTAGCCAAACGAAGCATAAGGATTGTTTGGATGATCTAAATAGTATATTTTTTTACTTTTTATGAAAAGATTCGTAAAAAAAATAGAGAGATAATATGATTCAAAAAGATAAAAAGACAAATAAATACACTTTTTTAGTGCATCACCAAACACCCTCTAATAATTTTAAAGTAAATATTTTGTAAGGTTAGATTCAAAAATTGAAAGCCAAAGGCCATGTTTGGTTCTCTTTTGGAATTACAATTTCAGTCAAAAATTTTCAAAATTGTTTTGAAAATTAATAACCAAACACATAACTCAAAACTAAATCTAAAAATTATTTTCTGACCTTTTATGAAAAAATTTATAAAAAAAAATAAAGAAATAATATAACTCAAAAAGTTAAAAAGGTAAATAAATACACATTTTTAATGCACCCTAAACACCCTCTAATAATTTCAGAGCAATATGCTGCGAGGTCAGATTTGAAAGTTGAAAGATAAGGCCATGTTTGGTTCCCTTTTGAAATCACAATTCTAATAAAAAAAAATTCAAAACTCTTATGAAAATTAATAACCAAATACACAACTTAAAACTACTCAAAATTAATCTAAAAATTATTTTCAAAACTTATAACCAAGCAAATAATTCAAAACTCAAAACTAAACTCTTTTCAAAACTTTATTTTAAAAGAAAAAATTCAAAAAAATATTTTTTATTTTGTTTTTTAAAATTATGATTTGAGCGTGGTGTCGTGTTTTAAATTATGAGTTTAATTAAGTTTTGAAAAGAGAAAATTTGTTTAGTTATGAGTTTTGAAAAGATTTTAAATTGTATTATGAAATTTTTTGAATTTATTTTTTAAATATTTAAAAAAATTCTTAATTTTATTTTATTAGGGAAAATATTTCATATTTTAAATATTTATTTATTTATTTCCA